GCTCGGGTCCCTGCGCCGGCGCTGCGGGTTTAGAAGCCGCGCGTCCGGGAGCAAACGGGGAGCTCTGTGCTGCCTCCACCCTAGTTCTGGGCGCGACCCCGAGAGCAGGGTGCAGGAACAAAATCCGGTTTCTTCCTGGGGTCTTGGCTACTGCGCGGTAATGACCGACCACTGGTTAGCTATTGCCAACTATTTCACTGACTTGTGTTCGATTAGACAGTTTGCACGTGGTTTTGAAGTGGCCTGAAGGTTTTCTACATCTAATACACACACATCCGCTGTTGCTAACTTACTCACTTTTCATCTTCTGCATAGATATGATAGGCTCTTTAATTTTACTCGCTTTTAAAAAAACAACTGATACATTGGAAGGAGTCACTATCAGCTGAATGAACAATGGAACAAATGATCAGACATGGAGAAGTTGTAGGATGCTGAGATGGGTTCCTATCCAGCCTAGGCTAGAGACTGTTTCTCAAAGCAATAAACACCAAGCAAAAGAGTGGCGTGCCCTTGCTTTGAAGAGGTCTTACTGGCTAAACTCTTTGTTCAGCTGTGACCCTGAGAACCAGTGTCAGGATCAGTAATATCGAGTCTCAACTAGGGTATATAGCCTCATGGGAGAACTTTGCCATGTGTGACCACCCTGGTTCAATTCCCATCACCATGAAAGGGAAAACAAAAAGCTTGGCAGGGTGGCCTAACACCTAGGAAGCTTAAGCAGGACTTCTGCATGTTCAAGAACAGACTGAGACCGTTCAACTCTCACTGGGCCCAAAATGTGTGTTAACAGGCACTGAAGGTAGACAGAAACCGTAGCTACCCTCCACCCATCTGAGCCCAAGGCAGCTAGGCAGCCCAACAGTTCCAGTCTTCCACGTGACAGTCCACGTGACAGGAAACACCACACTCATATGATTAATTTATTTATTAGTTTTTCTGCACACTTAATTTTCTACATCAACAAGGGGTTTTTCTTTTACATTTTGTCATCTCAAAATCGCTTATCAGCCACCAGAATACACAAAATTAGGCTCTTAACTTTGTACAGAGAGGAAAGTAATGAACTCCATTAAAAGTTCATCTTAACCAAAAAGGAGACAATCACCAATTGGGAAACCAGACACAGGAGGGCCTGATACACACACACACACACACACACACACACATATATATATATATAATGTATAGATATTTATAGATACCTTGAGGACACAGCAGAGAGATGTCCGATACTTGGAGTGCTGTCTACAGTAAGGGATTTGAATTCTACCAGCTTTACAGTCACATTCAGCACTCACGGGAGCACGGGAGTGAACACAACTGGGGACGGAACACACTCCACTGGACTTGAGAGCAGTCTAGAAATGGCTTACAGTTACAGAAGGGGTGGCCTGTGCCACAGATACACGGATGTAGGTGTCCTTAGTTCAGTACGCCCACACGACAACACCCCCCCCCATACACACACAGCTCCTCTTTTCTCTCCCCCATTTTGGGGTGACAGTGGATGAAACCAATGACCAGGCTGAAGCTCTGGTTTCTGGGCTGTGAATCTACCTGGTAAGATAGTGGACAGGAAGACAGCGTAGCTGTGGGCTCTGGGAGGCAAGGGTGCATCAAGAACCTTCGGCCTCTACACGTGTGTTCACCTCAAAACCCCACCCATCTCCCACCCCAGGACCAAGCACGCTCCAGCCCCTCCAGCAGGCAGAGGTGGTGGTATCTTCTGTCTTGGACCAGATCTAACGAGTTCACTTCTCCAGTGATGTCTGTGACACACTGGCCCAAGTTGACCAGGGCACTGCCACAAACACCCTTGGTTGAATCTGAGGACAAGAGAGATCTCTACAGGACTCAAGTACCTTCCGGCTCCCAAGGGATCACCATGAAGTTCTCAAGCACACAGCATACAAAGCAATCTTGACCTTTGCCCTCTGCCACCAGGGGCAGAAGACCAGGTGACCTTTGCCTCAGGGTGGGACCTGGCCCTGGGGTGACAGAGTATGGGGGTTCCTGCCCTCAGGGTTCTCCATATTCTGTCTCCATAGCTGTCCTGCACCAAGAAACTGGCTGTCTGCTTAGAGCGCCCTCTTGTGGCTTCCATCCTCATGACTGTCACCTGTACTATCAGAGTAAGTGTGCTTGCTGCAAGGGTTATAAGAAAGGGACCCCCTGAGGGTTAGGTTTCTCCATTGGTCTGACATCAGAGCCTGAGCTCATCGCCCACCATCTTCAAGTCCCACGCTGTCTTCACATCTGCCAGGCCCAGGGGGTGGGCCATACTCTTTCTTCAATACTGTATCCTATATTCTGACCTCCCCCCAGGGCCATGGTAAGTAGGTGACAGGAGCCATATCAGCCAGTGAACATGGTGAGGGAAATGGGAGTGGATACGGCAAGCCCCTCACGCCCTCGAAGACTGTCCTGCTGCACTGTCTAAGGTGGATCCCCTCATTTTTTTTTTAAGTAAAAGAGAAGTAACCCCATTTCTTCCCCTTCGCTCTCACAAAAATAAACTAAATGGAAGATGAGCCGGTGCAGAGATGGCAGTGGGACCTGGGGGCAGGAAAGCAGGCATCTTGGACAGGACGAGGACTTCAGCAGGATACCTCCATGGTGTGATTGACCTGGCCCATCCCCTCACCGCTCTCTGAGTGGGCGCAGGGCTGTGGGCGGCTGCCATCCACAGAGCTGGCGCTGGTGAGGGACGCGGTGCGTGAGCGTGCAAGGCGGGTCATGCTGGCTGAGGGCACTGTGGACAAGAACAAAGGGTCCTGAGGACAGGCAGGGTGGGTACCAGCGGCAGGAAAGGGGCAAGGCAAGCGAAGCGGCCAGTGAGACCCAGTCCTGCCACAACACAGAGGCCCATCCCAAGCCACGGTGCTGGCACTGGCTCCATCAGGCCGAGGCATGCAGGGCCAGCAACAGTGAGCAGGCCAGATGGGGCTGCAGCCAGCAGAGTCCTAGGTCCCAACAGCTACCCAGAGCTACGGCCAGGGTAGGTGTTGATAAGGCACTCCGGGCTGGGTAGGAAGGTGCTGTGCGGCCAACTAGACCTTTATCCAGAGAGTGACAGGGTAGGAGGCAGGACTGCTTCTGTGGAGAACACAGCCACAAGCTACCCTGAATCTTGCTTCTACTATTGTAGGTGAGGCCAGTCCACCTAGAGGCTGGGCCAGGGACAGGCATGATGCCCGCAAAGGCCACCCTAGTGCTGTGTCTGAGCTTCTGTTTCTAACTCCCAAAGCATTGGAAGCCCCACAGCCCATGGCAACCTAGAAACAAGACAACTGCTTTGAGATCAGCCAGCGTCAGGCTCCCATACGGGACGGTGCTCTCTGCAGACCAGGGTCCGCAGAGGAGCAGGGAATTGATCCACTGGGGCTTTGAACTGAGCAGGACACAGAAGATTCCAAAACCACGGCAAGACACAGTGTGGCTGCAGCATTGCAGTGGAGCGGGGGTGGGGGGGACTAGGCAGGGTGTCCATGCAGCAGGAGAGGGGCCATGGGCTACCTGCTCCTCCACTCAGCCTTCGGTCCTTCAAGTGTGCAACTAAGAGAGAAGACAGCCAGAGAGGGCAAGGGTAGGGGAGACACAGAACAAGGTGAAGATTGGGCCAGCCCAAGGGCATCAAGATGGGCCAAGATGAGACACACAGACAAATGAGTAAGGGCCAGGGCAGGGCTGAGCCTCAGATAGCCCGCTGCGGCAGCCCATTCAAACAGCCGCTCGTGGAAGCCACACAGCAGGCTCAGGATTTTCAGGTCTCCCTCTTCTCCAGCCCAGGCTGCGACTTAAGGCCCACGGAGGCCACACCCTAGGCCTATTGTCCTCACTGCTCTACCAGAACTCAATCTTGTACATAAAGGGGAGGAGGTTGTACAATCTTCCAAAGCCCCTCCGACTCCTGGGAAGCCCAGAGACACACTCTAGTGTCTCCAAGTGTTGTTCCTTCTTGGCCTTAGAGATGTCTGCCAAGCTCCACGAGTGCATGGGGCCTAGATTAGAGTTCTGGCTAGTCCTCCCTGGCTGCCTGTGCCTTTTTTTTTTTTCAATTTCCCCATGGGGCTGGCAGGGTGGAGGGCTATCCTATTTCTGTCCCAAGGAGGTACAGGCTCCAGAGGCTGAAGTCTTTGGTGGAGGGCACCAAATTGAGGTTCACCCAGCAGTTGTGTGTTGTTAAGTGGAGACCAGAGGTTTCGGAGGCACACAGGAGCTGCCAGAGCTCATATTCTCTCTCTCTCTCTCTCTCTCTCTCTCTCTCTCTCTCTCTCTCTCTCTCTCTCTCCCCGTGTGTGTGTGTGTGTGTGTGTGTGTGTGTGTGTGTGTGTGTTGGGTGCTCATAGGTGTAGCCTGGGTCTCATCACTGTTACATGAGGGGTTGTTTCGGGAAGGATGGGGACCAGAAGCTGGTTTAGAGCCCCTTAATCTCAGTTGACCCTCAGGCTTACTTTCCACAGGTCTGGACATGTTCCCACTTCCGTTCTCCGGTCCCAGACTCCATGCACCTGGGCGCTAACCCTCTTTCTGTGACAAAGAGCCTTTTGAGGTGCCCTAATCCCAATAGGGTGTGGGTGACTCATCTAAA